TTTTAATTTTTTTTTTAAAGTTGAACTCTCATATTATAATTATAATATTTTCTATAATAAAAACCCTTAAATAATATTATGTATTATGTATTATGTATGGACCCTGACCTTTCGGACTGACTCTAGCTACGCTCGTAAAGTTCATATCCCTTTTTTCTAGAGCAACGATTCGAATCGGTCCCATAACAAAATGTTAAAAAAATAATAATAATAATATTATGTATGTAAAATTATATAAAAAATTATGTAAAATATTATTTTTAAATCATTTCTCTTTGGAAATCACGAAAGCGTGAGGTACCACTGTTTTATAGATGCTCTCAGGTTTTATCAGAAAAAAATAAAAAATAGATGCTCTCAGGTACGTTTGGTCTGTACTTTTGTTTTGGTGCGTAACGCATTTTCCTCCGTTAGATTCTTACTGTGTAGAAACGTGACAACCTTATACCGCTAGATTTTGGCTGATCAAATCAAAAAATTGCAGAAAAAGAGGTGGATATGAAAATGGTACCTTAAGTTAATAAAAAAGTTGGCGATAATCCATAAAAAAAAAACAAAGAAAGAAGTCGGTGATAGTTTCTTTTTTCACTATTTAATCTTCTGGGTGCGATTTCTTCCATCTTCAATAAAATTTTCAAACTTTGTTTGTAAAGTTCCAATCTTTCTGTATTTGAGTAACGATTGGAATATGGAGAATCCTTTCCATTTTTGTGAAACTACCTTTCATCTTCCAACTTCGTCTTCCCATCTTTTGTCTTTTACAGCTAGAGCTACACGTTAATGCATTGTACAACAGCGCTGTCCACTACGGCAAGTGGGTGTTTTACTGATTAAATTCAGTTTTATTTATTTATTTATTTATTTATTTTGTTTCTGTTGATTTATATGTTTGATATCTAGGGTTTGCATCCGGTAATTCTGTTTTAAGGCTGGGTTTGTTTGAAACCATGCTTCTTTGGAAGCTTATTTTTTGGTTTATTTTGTTCGTATTTCTCATGTTGTCTTTCATTGAATTTCATCCTTAGGGTTGGTTGTGCTAGTAG